GGATGCGCAGCCGACAAATCTGCGGCAACTGTGTGATGCCATCATGTCAATATGGACCAAAATCTCTGAGGAATGCTTCCAGCACCTTGTTGAATCTATGCCATGAAGAATTGAGGCAGTTCTGAAGGCAAAAGGGGGTCCAACCCGTTACTAGCGTGGTGTACCTAATAAAGTGGCCGGTGAGTGTAGATATATATGTACATGAGTCCCGACATCCTACCAGCTGGTCAGGAGCTTTACAGATGGAGTGCTGAGGAGTTTGTCTGGGAGGTAATCAATTTCTTTCATAATGTTGGCCAGTCTGACAGGAAGCTCCTGTCGCAGGAACACAAATGAGGTCTTCTCACATGCATTGGCAGAACCTGCAATCACATGAAGGACAGCAACAAAAAAAAAACCCGATAAATTAATTTAAAAAACACACACCAACTCTTTTAAAGAAACAAATCTCTCCACGTGTTTATGAACATATACTCCCAGAGGTTGTGCAAATGACAGGAGCACTTGTTGACGTGCAGCTGAGTGAACATGTCCTGCACACTCAGCAGCAGAGACAATAAGTAACATGAGTTATTATGCAACAGCTGGTACTGTACGTATTAGGAGCACGCCACACAACAAAAGTCACTGCTTACCAAAGTCAATGAACTGCTTCATGGATAAAGGAGAGGGAGAAAACTTGGAGAACCTCTCCACTTGTTTAGGTATCCCAGCTAGAGAGCCGTTCTTCAACAAAAACTGGGCGAACCTCATTTTGCTTCCCTTTGTGGACCCCCAACAACTGCCTCAGTTTTTGGGACGAGATGTTCTTTCTCACTCCGACACAATCCAGCTGTTTTCTACCAGCCGGGACAGCGGCTCGGCGTCCGGCAAAACCCGCTCATTTCATCCTTCAGGAGCCGGCCTCTCATGAGTTCCCCTTCAGTGTTTTCCCCGAGCAGTTTCCTTCCATGTTTCACCGACACATGTTGTTGTGTTAAAGATGAGAGAGTGACGTTGAAGCCGACCAATCAGCGACCAGGTTCGTCAAACGGTAGGCGGAGTCATCCCAACTGAACAGACTGCGCTGCAAACAACAACATCATCATCACATACCGATGACTTATCCAGAACTCACCTTTGATTTATTTGTTGTTTTGAAGGGCTGCTACGGTTATAATATCAGATAATAGTTTTTGGAAGCGGTGCGAGTGGTCATGAGTACGGAAGCGTGTTGCTATCAGGCAGGAAAAAAAAATTCCGAGCGCTATCACGTTATAACGTGATA